TTTCTCTGGTACTCCCTGCTTTCTGCCAAGATCTATTTAACATTAGCTATAATATCCCTAGTACCATCGCCTCTTCTAAGCCCAGCTTCCATGTCTGGCAGTTCTCTGTTGATGTATTTCTCCAGCTGTTTTTGGATCATTTTCAGCAGAATCTTGCTTGCATGTGAAATCAGTGAGATTGTTCTATCGTTTCCACACTCTGTAGGGTCACCTTTCTTTGGGATAGGAACGAAGATAGATCTCTTCCAGTCAATTGGCCAGGTGGTTGTCCTCCAGGTTTCTTGGCACAACTTAGTGAGCACATCCAAGGCAGCGTCTGTTGAAATGTGTCAACCGGTATGCTGTCAATTCCTGGAGGCTTGCTTGTGTTTTTTTTTTTTTGCCAATTCTTTCAGAGCAGTTTGAAATCTTCATATATGTGTCTATCTCTCCCAACTTAAACCTTCTGCTGTTGAGTTTGAACCGATTCACAGCTGACCCTCCAGCAGGCTTTCGGAGGCTGTAAATTGCACGGGAGGAGAAAGACCGCCTTTCTCCCTTCGAGCTGCTGGTGGAGTCAAACCATCAGAGAGGCGTTCGTATCTAACTCCACATGATACATATATACTCTATAGGGGAGCTCTAGTGGTAAGGAGTTATGCTTCCAATCTCAGGGCACGTAGTTCAAGTCCACGAGCTGTTCTACAGAAGATGGGCCGTCTCCTCCTGTGTGACGTGCTGCCTCTGAAAACCCGCTGGAGGGTCACCTGTGGGTGGGTTCTTACTCGACAGCACACAACAACATATATGAATTTATTTATATTGAAGGAGCTCTGGCCATCTACTGGTAAGGAGTTATGTTGCCAACCCAAAAGCACACAGTTCAAACCCACCAGTTGCTCCTCAGGAGAAACATGGGCAGTCTCCTCCTGGTCAGTTTGGTGCTCCTGAAAACCCACTGGAGGGTTAGCTATGAGTGGGTTCTGACTTGACCTAACAGCGTATTTATAATAATATATACATACACAAACACGTAAGGCTCATTAGTTCTGCTTCTGTAGAGCATCTACTCTCAGACAGTATGTGGTATGAAACTGAAAAGTACTATAATCTTTTTCTCATAACTTAGGTGACCTGCACTGTTACCATTTAGGGACCATCAAGTGACCACAACTCACAGCACCCTACGAAGAGCATTTCTGACCCTATTCTGTCCTGCACCGTCCTCACCATCCCTGACACACTCAAGCCCACTGCTACAAAGTCTATGTTGATCCATTTTGCTGGAGGTCTTCCTCTTGTCCACTGAACCTCCCCACCTTTCCAGGAATAAGGTACTTTTCCAAGGACTAGCCCCTCTTAACAACATGCTCAAAGTGTGTGAGCTCAATGGTAGATTCACATTGTTTTAGACCCCTCAGCTTTGGGTGGCAGCCCCACACTCCACTGCTGAGTTGGTGAGGGGTCAACTCTCTAAAACCTAGGAGATTGTGGCCCCACCCTTAGGTACCCCGGAAATCTCTGTCCCAGACACAGAGACTATGGAAGTCCTGGCCCGACCCTCTGAGACTGAGTTAGCTCTGCTCCTCCTTCCGCTTATATGTCCTGGTCTCTTGAAGAGGTCGGCCTGGCCTCTGTCCTCCATGAGCAAGTCCCTCGCTCTACTGGTGACACCTCACTCCACTGGTCATCCTGGGCCTGAAGGCACCCAGAGCTCTCCCTCTGTGGACTGGTAACCTTACTGCCAACAAGTGCTGAGAGGCGCCTGCTCTGTCAGGAGTGGCTAACGGCACTCAGCTCATGCTCTCTGCTCAGCTCCAATGCTGCCCTGCGCTGGCTTCCATCTCAGCAGGTCTGGCTTTGCAGGCACTAGGCTTGTGCTCTGTCTGGGGACTTCTTCCCACACTGACCTGCACCCGCACCAGCCTCTGTCGCAGGTCTGACTTTGCAGGCACTCGGCTTGTGCTCCAGGGACCTGCTCCTCCGCTGGCCTATGTCTCTGGGCACGTCTCCTGGTTCTGCTCTTATTGTTTCTCTGTTGTCATTTCTCACTGTCTGCACTATCTCAGGTGTAAAACTCCCCTCTAGTTCTGCTCACCTTTCACCTGAATAGTCTTTGACACCCGCAGTTCCACCAACAGGCTCTTCAAGGCAACATGGGCTTTTCCTGTGAGGCACCTTCCAGCCTCTGCTCATCATCAAGGCCCACAGCTGCTCCCCGATCCGAGGTGTCTCTTAGAGCAGGACCCTCAAATGCGCAGAGGTCAGTCCCAAGCTCTGTGCTGGCTGTCCAGTGCTGGGACAGACTAACGTGGGTAACATGACCAAACACGTTCGCTTTCTCAGAGGCGAGGAGCCCCACATCAGGTGGCAGTTCTGGGGGGATGTCCTTGTCCCTTTGAGCATCCATGGTCCTGGCGTTACCTGAGGTTTCCATGTGTCCTGGCTTTCCCATGAGGCGGTGCCTCCCAGCACAGGAGCCCGGCATAGCACGCCCCTCCGGCCCTTGTCTCGGTGCTGCCGATGTCCCTCCTGCTCTACCTGACTGCCTCTCTCTCTGTGTCTCTTGTAAGACAGAAGTGATGTGGGCCACACCCCGGGGAAGGCCTCTTCCATCGGATCAGGGCTGTGACCTAATTGGGGTGCTGCACCCCTCCCTGTGCCTCTCACAACTGACTGGATGATCAAATCATGAAGGATGATAATGTAATTTTCAAAATGCCTCTAATCCTGCCTCGTTCACGTCACAGATACTAGGCCTCACAAAACAAGGTAGTGAAATAACACTGAGCACCAGGCCGAGGTAAATGGACACATCCCGTGAGAGGACGCAATTTAACCCACCGCACTCTCACATAATATTCAGTAAACATCTTACATTAGAGTCTACCTTTCCTCCTCTTATTTAAAAAGGGATGTCTCAGATCAGCATCGAATCACTCAGCATCGAATCACTCTCCACTTCTTCTAAGCTGTAGCCCCTTTAGAAGAGTCTCACAACTTATTTGAAAAATGGATTTTATTTCTCCCAATAGTCTTCTTCTAAGGAACTGGCTGAATGACCTTGTTTATTTTTAATTTACCATAGCAAAAAAAAAAAATCAAAGAAAAACACAAAAACCATTCTTGTTCTCCCAAACCATGACAGATTTCTACCTGATAAACAAGGGAGCTCACCATGTCCATTGGCTTTAAAGGGCGAGTAAGGAATTGGGAATCCCAGAAACATGCTCATGTGAAACCTATACTTGGACCAGGAAGCAGTCATTAGAACAAAGCAAGGAAAAACTGCATGTTTCAAAATCAGGAAAGGAGTGTGTCAGGGATTCTTCTTTTTCAGTCTATACACAGGACAGACAGCTGGGAGCCTGAATTTTATGAGGAGGAATGTGGTAACAGGAATGTGGTATTAGGAATGGAGGAAGACTCATCAACAACTTGTGTTATGCAGATGACACAACCTTATTTCCAAAACTGAGGAGGACCTGAGGCATTTGCAGCAAAATGTCCAGGACTGTAGTCTTCAATATGGATTGAAGCTCAACATCAAGAAAACAGAGATTCTCACCACTGGGCCAATCAGTAGCACCATGACTGATAGAGAAGAGATTTGGATTATTAACAGTTGAGCTTGGTTTTACTCTTGGCATCAGCAGTCAGGGGAATTAAAAGGCAAACTGCACTGGGTAAATCTGCTCTCAGGGATCTCTCCAGAGTGAAGAAGAGCAACAATGTCAGTGTAGAGACTAAGGTGAGTCTGATCCACGTCAAGGTCTTTGCAATTATTTGTTATTCATCAGAGAGCTGGACAATAATGAAGAATGACAGAAGAATCAATGCCTTTGGGCTATGGTGCTGAAGAAGAGTACTGAACATACCATACAATGCCAAGAGAACAAACAGGTCTGTCCTGGAGAACGTGAAACCAAATTGTTTCTTGGAGGCAAGGACTTTGAAGCTCCTCCTCACATACTGTGGGCATGTGGCCAAGAGGGACAAGTCCCTGGAGAAGGGCATTATTCTTGAAGGGTGGAGGGATAGCACAGGAGAAGATGACCCTGGATGAGCAGGAGGGACACAGTAACTGGGGTAACGGGGGAGGTGTGTTGGAGACAGTGAGACTGGCTCAGGATAGAGCAGGGTTCAGGGCTATTGTACACAGGGTCACTATGAGTCGCAGGTGACTTGATGACACAAAGCAACAATAATAACCTGCTTGATGGGTCTCTAACTGCAGTCAAGGGAGCCCTGGTGGAACAGTGGTTCAGTGTTTGGCTATGAATGGAGAGCTTGGTGGTTCAAACCCACCCACTGGTTCTGCTCTCATAAAGCTGTCAGCCTAGAAAACCCGATAGGCCAGTTCTTCTCGGTCACATGGGATCACTGAGTTGACACTGACTCAACTACACGTAACAACATAACCGGCAGCTACTGAACGGCCTCGGATGCCTAGCGATCTGATGTGTCAGAGCACAAGGAGGTTCTACTGAGCGCTGATTGCTGATTTGGGGAAATGTATCACCAGGTCTTTCCTCCGAGGTGCCTCTAAGTGAACTCAAACTTCTAACCTTCCGATAAGCAGCCAAGTGCATCGCAACTGCAGCACCACGCAGGAATCTTTCCTCAGTCCCTAAGTCCAAGGGAGCTCTAGTAGCTCAGTGATGAGGAGATATGTTGCCAACCTGAAGGCACATGTTTCGAATCCACCAGCTACTTCACAGGCCACAGATGGGCAATCTCCTCCCATGTGATTCTATTACCTCTGAAACCCACTGGAGGGTCAGCGAGGTGTCAATTCTTGGCTGTTCTCAACAACAACAACAAGTCCAAGAAGAGATGCTTGCTTTTTCGGGTGTTTTTTTTTTGAGATGCTTGTTTTAAGAGGCCTCATCTCCTTCCCTCCCCATGTGTCCTCTCAAACAGAATTTCAAGCTTTGGTGTCTTCTTTATGCCCTGAATTTAATGATACCAAATACTGTTCTGTCTACTCTCTGGAAACGGAGGCAGAAAGAAGCGCTCACAGAAGTGGGTGGTGGGCCACGTGTGGAATAGGGGTGGCCGCTGGCTCTCTTCTCCATGGTGGTAATCTTCCAGGTCACAGACGCCTTTGGTGGTTGAAGACAGCTTTTCCATTTTCATGTGGATTTTGGTCTGAAAAGATAAAAATTGGGAATAAGAGGCTATCATTTTATGTTCATCCCAGTTTCAGATATCAGTAACTCTGAGACGACAAAGCTAAGAAGGGTACGTGTGTTGAGTCCAAACAGCCAGGGACTAAGCACCGTGAAGTCTCATGGGGAAATCTCCAGGGCAATGGGAGCAAGTGGCTGGGATGTCATTCAGCAGGGAGGGTTCTCGGGGCCTGGCTGCTTAGCCCCCAAGACCAGGAGGGGTCCTGGTGCACCACGTGCAGGCTTTGGGGAACAGAGAGGAGAAAAGGCATTGTGTTAAGTGGAGCACTGCCACCTTGCTCTTAACCAACTCTGCCTTTCCAGAGTGCCCCCCAGCCTCAGTATCCCAGGCTGTAAAATGGGGTTGATGCGAGGCAGAACTATCCTAACCCAGTGCTGTCTGGTCACTTCCAACTGAGAGTGACCCTGCGGGATGGGAGGACTGCCCCTCGGAGTTTCCAAAGCTGCACAGACCGTGACAGAAGGAGGGGGCCTCATCGTGCTCCTGAGGAGCGGCTGGGGGGTTCGAGGCACTGACCTTTGGTCAGCAGCCAGGGGCTGTACCCAGGGAGCCAGCGAGGCCTCTCATACGCATCCTACAGCAGGAGGAAATCCTGATGCCAGGCGCTGGAGTCTTCGACTTAAAACTGTTTACTGCACGGGACATGGGCAAACACTAGTGTCACTCTCACAATACAGGGAGGGGGCAAAGTGCCTGCTTCCCAAGGTGAATTCTTGTGAGAAACCCCGCTGGAGCTCTCTGTCTGTTCAATGAAGTCAGTAGGAGGCAGACTTAAGTCGTGTTTTCCTAGTGGCCATCAGTACCCAGTGGCCAGGAGCCGGGGACCTCACCAAAGCATCCAGGGTGGCCTGCAGCTCCTCACACAGTGTCTCGAGCTCCTTATTATACTCTGGGTGTGACATCTCTTCATTTTTATCGGAAACTGGGCTGCTGTTCTCTAATTCTATCTTGTCTTTATCCCTGAATAAAATGGAAAAGAACAGGAACAGAGTGACACTGAAGGCTCACCTCTGTCTTTTCTCTTATGCTAAACCCTAAAAAAAGATCACCCATATCATCCCGTCAGGCGTTCTGCACAGCACTCGTGTTTCAGGTCATTAAAGTCAATGTTTACTTATTAATTGCACACACAGCGAATGTGGTCATGGGTTACTTAATTTTATATTCAAATAAACGAATTCCGTCCTGTGACAATATGCGATGCATTCTTAGGGTTGGGGACACAAACGCGCGATCCTGGCCTCTGAGACTGACCATGTAAGCCTGCTGCTTAGACAGAAGCCTGTGACCTGGGGGCAGGAAATGCATCCAATAAGGGTCACATCAATAGATTCCAGATAAAAAAAAGATCAGCAGAGCGTAAGGCATGTGTTAAGGTTAGAGGAGCGTAATGCACGTGTTAAGGGTAGAGGGGTGTAACGCACATGTTGAGGGTAAAGGAGTGTACGTGTTAACGGTTGTTGTTATGTGCCGTCGAGTCGCCTGCAACTCATAGCGACCCTATGTACAACAGCCCTAAACTCCACTCTGTCCTGTGCCAATCGCACTGTC